TGGTCAGATGAAACCAAAATAGAACTGTTTGGTAGAAACACAACTCGTCATGTTTGGAGGAGAGAGAATGTTGAGTTGCATCCAAAGAACACCATACCTATTGTGAAGTATGGGGTGGCAACATTCTCCGCAAAGGGACCAGGACGACTGATCCATGTACAAGACAGAATGAATGGGGCCATGTATCGTGAGATTTTGACTGCAAACCTCCTTCCATCAGCAAGGGCATTGAAGATGAAACGTGGCTGGGTCTTCCAACATGACAATGATCCCAAGCATACCGCCCGGGCAACGAAGGAGTGGCTTCGTAAGAAGCATTTCAAGGTCCTGGAGTGGCCTAGCCAGTCTCCAGATCTCAAACCCATAGAAAACCTTTGGAGGGAGTTGAAAGTCCGTGTTGCCCAGCGACAGCCCCAAAACATCACTTCTCTAGAGGAGATCTGCATGGAGGAATGGGCCAACATACCAGCAACAGTGTGTGCCAACCTTGTGAAGACTTACAGGAAACGTTTGACCTCTGTCATTGCCAACAAAGGATATATAACAAAGTATTGAGATGAACTTTTTGATATTGACCAAATACTTATTTTCCACCATAATTTGCAAATAAATTCTTTCCAAATCAGCCAATGTGATTGTCTGGATTTTTTTTCTCATTTTGTCTCTCCTAGTTGAGGTCTACCTATGATGCCAATTACAGGCCTTTCTCATCTTTTTAAGTGGGAGAACTTCCACAATTGGTGGCTGACTAAATACTTTTTTGCCCCACTGTGTATATATATATATATATATATATAAATTTTTTTATATATATTTATATATTTTTATATATATATATATATATATATATATATATAATTTTTTTTTAATATATTTAATATGGCCAAAATTGTAGCAACTCAAATATATGGCAAAAATATATTTGGGCAAGAATATTTTAAACAGTGCCCCATATATTTCAAAATATATTTTTCTTCCATACCTCTACAGCCTTCCTGATGTACCACTTCAGACCCTAGAAGAATTTTCCTCTTCACCCAGCTCCCTGAGGGAATCCTTGAGCAAGGGGACCCAGAATCTGCCACTTTTAAATCAAAAGTCCCAGATGGGGGCTAGTCAGGTTTCTCACCAGAATGCCATCTCCCATTATCTGGCTCAGGGTGTGTGAGATTACTCTCTCAGTCCTCTCCTGAAAGCTTGTGGATTGGTGGCTGCCTTCATTGGGTTGGGCTGACTCCTTCCCTGTGTCCCAGGCTATCCTCTCTCAGGGGACGATTGAGGCTGACAGATCCTCCCTTCCAGCTCCTGCCTGCAGGAAGGCCCCTCTCCAGGGTTCCCTCCCAGGCTCCACACTCCAGCCTTCACTCCATCTTCCACCCAACACTACTCCCCCTGCTTATAAGGCTCTCTTATATTTAAGGGCTGTTTTCGGCTCATGCCAAGCCTCCTTCTTAGGAAATAGCCAAGATCCCTTAAATATGCATATTAGCCCCTCCTGATGTCCACCCACTGCCTTCTAGAAACTTCTCAAGTTTCTAGAGCAGGACAAGGTATCAGGGATATGATCTGCAGAGCCCTCAGCCCTGACCTAAAGATGACCTGGCTGATTCATACCCAGGCTGAATCATCCCAGGCTACTATTCAGCCTCTAATTGAAAACCTATCTAGCTCCCCCTAGCTAACTAGAGGGGCACTACATTAGTTTTAATGTAGCATTTGTTTCTATTTTTATGTTGGATAGAGTAGGGAAGGGTTAGATACCCTGTCAAGTCTTTATTGCTGTCTGCATCCAAACCTGGAAGATTCATCTCCTTTGTTTCTCCTGGTAACCATTGTCTTAAGTGGTGGGAATTACAGTATAATACAGTTGTCATCTGAACAGAAAGGTAAAAGTTGCAGAGTGACTCTTTTTTTGGTGACAACTGTCTGAGGGGATTTCCCCTCTACTTGCAGGGAATCCTTCAAACTTTCATTTATGTCTCTAATGGTGGCCATTCATGCTTCAATTTTATTATCCATCATTGTGTGATTCGATCAATATGATCAAATTCACAAACAATTGCATATTCATGGCTTCCCTTCTGATCAATTTAGACTCAGTTTAGATGAAATTTAATCAAACTGAGTCAGTCTGGCCAGACAAAAAATTATCAATCATTTTTGCATTGATCAGCAGCACTGAGATGCTTTGGTCATGAATTTGATCATTTTTAACTGAGTGGATGATGAGATTGCATGTTCAAGACGGGTGAAATTGTATCTTCCAACTATCCATTGAAATCCAATAGTATGTTGATTGAATGGGTTGTACATTACAGATCAATTACCCCTATCAAGAGAGAGCAATCAGAAAAGAAAACAATCATTTATTGAAGTGTATATGGTCACTATGCAGGAGAAAGCTTTCCAACAAGGACAAAAAAACAAAACAAAAACAAAATTGACATGATTTCTAACAAATCCCTACTCAATCCATGAAAACGAAAACACATGCACACATTACCCTCCTTGAACATCCTATGTATACTGTAAACATACAGTATACACAATATGTATGTGGGCATCAGCAGTAAAAACACAAATATTCAAACTTCAGACATCGCTTGCATTGTTAATCAATCAATAAATAAGTGCATTTCTTTCATAAATAAGTTCAGTTTCCATCAAATGCCTGATGCTATCAAGTTCACCTGCAACATTATATCAGTACAGACTTTCACTCCCTCAGGCCTGGTTTTAATTTTTTTATTTAAATTTTACATTTAAATTTGATTTTACTCCTGTGAATTTTTTATGTGATTTTGTGCCTTGGGTGCTGCTTGGCTAATGAAGACTGCTACTACTTCTATTTCTGATGACTACTACTACTACTACTGCTGACTACTACTACCGCTGCTTACGACTACTACTTTTGAGGAAGCAAGGATTTGCCTGATAAGCAAGTTGAGGGTTAAAAAATGAAATCACTTTCAAAGTTGCATCAGAATTGCATGTACATGTGATTTCTGTAAGTTTCTATTGAAGTCTACGGGGCCCTGGAATCCCACCGTAGTAGTGCAAGAATCCATTCTAAAATCGCTCTGGGCTTAGTCACATTGATGTGAACAGGCACCATTGAAAACAATGTGATTTCCATTGCATGCGATTCTGTGCAACTCAAGTCGCATCTGAAGTCACACTAATGTGAACCAGGACTCAAAGTGGCCACAGAGGAAGATCAAACACCAGCTGCAGTGGTAGTCTTTTCCAAACCTCACACCCATACGGGCTATACTTTTGTGTTCCCACAACAGCACAAGTTTTGTCTAATCTTAATACCGGTCTCACATTAATTGTACTGAATATTCAAAATGTCCAAATGAAGGGACTGATACTGCATATGCTGCCTCAGTGAATACCAAGAATTCCTGAAATGAATTCAGACTTCAGATAGTTATATATTCCCAGTGGTGTCACTAAGATTGGTGTCACCTGGTGCAGTAAACCTCAGAGGAGCCTCCATTTTCCCCATATCATCTCAAATGAGCCTCCATCTCCACATAGACAGTCTCTGTCTCTCATATCTCCTCATGGACAGCCTTCCTTACCTCAGGCGCAGCTTCCATCCCTTATTTTACCTCAGAGAGAGCATCCATTGCCTCACACTCAGCTCCTCTCCCCTGACAAAACTTTTCCCCACTATGTCTAGGACAGGGGTGGGCAAACTTTTTGACTTGAGGGCCGCAATGGGTTCATATATTGGACCCGGGGGCCGGACCAAGAGTAGATGAATGATGTGTATGTGTCATCCATAGTAAGTATAGTAATATTCCCCCATAGTAAGCATAGTAATTAATCCCCCATATAGTTATTCATCCCCCATAGTAATTCATCCCCCATATAGTAATTCATCCCCCATAGTAATTCATCCCCCATATAGTAATTCATCCCCCATAGTAATTCATCCCCCATATAGTAATTCATCCCCCATAGTAATTCATCCCCCATAGTAATTCATCCCTCATAGTAATTCATCCCCCATAGTAATTCATCCCCCATATAGTAATTCATCCCCCATAGTAATTCATCCCCCATAGTAATTCATCCCCCATAGTAATTCATCCCCCATAGTAATTAATCCCCCATATAGTAATTCATCCCCCATAGTAATTCATCCCCCATATAGTAATTCATCCCCCATAGTAATTCATCCCCCATAGTAATTCATCCCTCATAGTAATTCATCCCCCATAGTAATTCATCCCCCATATAGTAATTCATCCCCCATAGTAATTCATCCCTCATAGTAATTCATCCCCCATAGTAATTAATCCCCCATATAGTAATTCATCCCCCATATAGTAATTCATCCCCCATAGTAATTCATCCCCCATAGTAATTCATCCCCCATATAGTAATTTATCCCCCATAGTAATTCATCCCCCATAGTAATTAATCCCCCATATAGTAATTCATCCCCCATAGTAATTCATCCCCCATAGTAATTCATCCCCCATATAGTAATTCATCCCCCCTATAGTAATTCATCCCCCCTATAGTAATTCATTCCCCATATTAATTCATCCCTCGTATAGTATTTCATCCCCCATAGTACTATTCCCCCCCAAGTAGTAAGCCAAGTCCCCCCTGTGTCAATTCACTTACCTTTGCTCCGCGCGTTCCTCTCGCCGTGTTCCCGCGCCGTTCCGGTCTTCAGGGCGGACTGTGAGAGGAGCCTAGCCCCCCTCACGTTCGTCACGCTGCCCCGCCTACACACATCCTGACAGCCATCCTGACAGTATCACGCTCCACGGGCCGGATTAAAAGGTCCGCTGGGCCGTAGTTTGCCCATTGCTGGTCTAGGAGATGGCTAGAGACTGCAGACATAGTACAGGAGATGGCCAAAGACTGCAGACATACTACAGGAGATGGTCAGAGACTGCAGACATAGTACAGGAGATGGTCAGAGACTGCAGACATAGTACTGGAGATGGTCAGAGACTGCAGACATAGTACTGGAGATGGTCAGAGACTACAGACATGCTACAAGAGATGGTCAGAGACTGCAGACATACTACAAGAGATGGTCAGAGACTGCAGACATAGTACAGGAGATGGTCAGAGACTGCAGACATAGTACAGGAGATGGTCAGAGACTACAGACATAGTACTGGAGATGGTCAGAGACTACAGACATGCTACAAGTGATGGTCAGAGACTGCAGACATAGTACAGCTTTTCAGAGCCCTCAGACATAGTACAGGAGATGGTCAGAGCCTGCAGACATACTACAGGAGATGGTCAGAGACTGCAAACCTACTACAGGAGATGGTCAGAGACTGCAGCCATACTGCAAGAGATGGTCAGAGACTGCAGACATACTAAAAGAGATGGTCAGAGACTTCAGACATACTACAGATTTTCAGAGCCTGCAGACATAGTACAGGAGATGGTCAGAGACTGCAAACATAGTACAGGAGATGGTCAGAGACTGCAGACATAGTACAGAAGATGGTCAGAGACTGAAGACATAGTACAGGAGACAGTCAGAGACTGCAGATATTCTGTGTATAGATCGGAGTTGTTTGAAAGGAAATAGCACCTGGTGTATGGGCACTGGACAGGAACACTCAGCCTGGCTTTTATAGATTTAAACAGATACACTAAGCTGCTGGGCTGGCAATCACAGTCTTTCACTGACCTGCTTCACACATTGCAGGTTGCTCCGAGACCACTCTTCAATGCACTCTGTCTGCCACCTCCAGCTCTCTTCAGCACCGAGTCTTGCTGTTCCCTACAGCCGGGACGTCGATTGTGGCCCCCCCCACCACTGAAGTTCCCAGGAAGGAAGGTGCCTGGAGCGACTGCCGAAGCCCTTGTCCCTGTGGGTCCACCATCCCTCATCCTGATCAGCATTCGAGCCCTCTCAAAGCTCTGCATCATCCGCCAGAAGGGATGTCATGATTACTGCGTCCTCCGGTCTTAACCCCCCTGCGTGGCAGCCTTGGACAGTGTCACCCCTCTGATGGGTGTCACCTGGGTGCGATGTGCACCCCCCGCACCCCATAGCAATGTCACTGTAAATTCCTCCTGCATCAGTGGCAACTAGAAGAAACATGCTCATTATTCAGTGGCATTTTTGCCTACCGCCCACAACATGTTTTACTTACAAAACATGCACGTTTTACTGACAGAGCACATTTTTTACTGACATCCTATAATATGACGGTTTGGGTGATATTTAGAGGCAAGATCGGTGATGTAATTTGGGGCAGAGTTATAAATGGCTTTATACGTTATTGTTAATGTTTTGAATTTTATCTGTTGGGCAACGGGAAGCAAGTGGAGGGAATTGCTAGAGAGGTTTTTTTTTCTTGGGAGAGTGCATGTGATCAGCACAGGGCCAATCAACACTATACAGACAGAGGTCAGAGGTTCTGCATCCTCCTAGAGCAAAATGTAAACTCCTCCTACAAGCTTTAACATGTGCTCTGCTGGACACTGATAAAAGTCACACAAATGCACTAACTGCTGATGAGAACAGGTATTTAGCAGTTTATATTTACTAAAATAATTGCACTTCTATGTTCTGTGTACTATGGGAGACCAGATATAGTGAATGCAGGGTCCTGGGTTTAGTAACAGTAAGGAATTACACTATATTTTGGCATAAAAATCTGAAGCCTGTCACCATGACAAGGTAGGCTCTTTTGAGCAGGGTCCGACACTAACACTAATCTTTTAAATGCCTCCCCCCAATCTATCCTGCCCTAGCAGGTCTAAGAAAACAAAACATCCATCTCCACAATGTAACTCCATCATCCTCATCCCCCTCCACAATATAACTCCATAACCATCTTCATCCCCAATGTCACTCTCCATCATCATCATTATCCCTATCCTTCTCAACACTGTTCCAAAATCATTCTTATCCCTACATTCCTTTTACCCATCTATTCTCATCATCCTCATCTCCAACATCCCTCTCCATAATCATCCCTTTTCAGAATCATCTTCATTCCTCTCTGCTTAGCAACCCAGTGCGTATGACCTGTAGTGTAATGTGGTATGATGTCCGGGCACTGCAGACTACACAGCACTCACCTCACTAGTGTTGCACTCTGGAGTCCTGCATGTGCACCAGAGAAGGCTGGCTGGGTGTCTTCGCTGCTGAGGCTGGCCACACCCCCTCCCCAAGTGTCTGCCAATCAAAATGTGAGCCTAGCAGTAGGCCCCATCTGTTCCAAATAGGAGTGAGTGTCCTGATCAGATGCTGCTGGGGAGAAGGTAGGGGGTAGGTTACAGTGTCCCTGGCTAGTGTTCCTCTCTCACAGCAACTGCAGTCTGTTCTTTCTGGCCAGCTGGCCTATCCTGGCATCCTAACAGCTTCCAAAGCTACCTTATGCTGCTGGTGCCATCCCTGGGCCTGGGCCCCTCAGGATGCCCAGATTCCATACAAGTGTATGGGTCACCCCCCCCCCCCCCCCCATGGGGGCCCTGTCATTTTGTCTGACTGAGCCTACCTTAAAGGACAACTTCATTAAAACCAGCAACTGTTAGGACAATGAACACCTTGGTCAGGACTATGTAATGTACAACATAATGTATAGAGTGCAGGGGTCCAGAGTAAATAATATACAAAACAACATAGTAAGTGCAGCAGTCAGGATGAACTCTCTGTTCACATCAGTGTCCCTGCTTACATTAGAGTTCTCAGTGTTCCCCCTTACACCAGAGTGCCCCCCTTTACATAAGAGTTTTCCATTACATCAGAGTCTACAGAGTTCTCCTTTAAATCAGATTCTCCCCAGCATTCCCTCCTTACATCATACCCAGCGTTTCCCCATACATCACAGTCCACAGAATTATTCTTTACATTAGAGTTCCCTTCCTAAATCAGGATTCACAGAGCCCCCTTTACATCAGCATCCACAGAGATCCTCTTTATACTGTAAGGGGGAACTCTGCAGACTCTGATGTAAGGGGGAAGTCTGGGGACTCTGATTTAAGGGGGAATGCTGGAGACTCTGATGTAAGGGGGGATGCTGTGGACTCTGGTGTAAAAGGGAACTCTGTAGGGGGGCCTTTGTTCACGAGAGCTCGCTCTTGTATTAGAGTTCTTAGAGATCCCCCTTAGAACAGGGTTCCCAGAGTTTTCCTTTACATAATACTCCACAGAGTTCCCTTTTACACTGCAATTCCTCAGTCCACCAACAGTCTAAAAAACTTATCTGTGGGGGATTGAGGAATGGCATCTCACTATGCTGGTACTAGTAGTACCCTCTATGGGGGGCTGAGGATTCCAGACAGAGGGCACTACAAGTCCAAGCATAGTGGGCTGCCATTCCTCACTGAAACTAAAGAATGGCATCACACTATGTGTGGACTTGTAATGCCCTCTGTCCAGAATTCTCAGCCCCCCACAGAGGGCACTACTAGTACCAGTATAGTGTAATGCCATTCCTTTAACCCCCACAGATAAAAATCCAAATTCCTGCATAGTGGGTTGCTATCAGTCCCCCACACACAGCATGAGGAACCCACACTGTTGTCACTACAGCGGTAGCCTACCAACCCCAAAACCTCACTTCCTGGCCACTGACCATGCCTCTCCCCACTCTCCATTTACATCAGTGTCCTCTGGGCCCACCCTCCAGAGTCTTGGCAGATGTCCAGCTCCATTTGCTCTCAATGCAGGGCAGAGAAAGTCAGGACAGGAGAAGGAAGTTACATCCTCCTCCTCTATTTCGGGGCCTGTGCAAGCACTTAATTGATTGCTAGACTGTCTTAGCAACCAATAATTCTGCCAGGATGGACAGCAGGCAGTATTTTCCAGTGTGAACTGCCTGAAGACTGCAGAAAAATGGAAGTTGGCTTCCTTTTTTAACAGACAGTTTGTACCATCGTCAGACATTTATGGACAGGGAAAAAGGGGTTGTTTTGTACAAACTGTCTGTAAAATAACGGACGGTTGGCAACAATGATCAGCGGTCAGGGGCAGTAAATGTGCTCCAGCATAAGTGGTGGTCAGTAGAAGTAATACAATACAATGCTCAAAAAAATTAAAGGAACACTTTTTAATCAAACTATAGCATCATGTCAATTAAACTCCTGAGATATTGATCTGGTCAGTAGCAGAGGGGGTTGTTAATCAGTTACAGCTGCTTTGGTGTTAATGAAATTAACAACAGGTGCACTAGATGGGCAACAATGAGACGATCCCCAAAACAGTTTTACAGGTGGAGGCCACTGACATTTTTTTCCCTACTCATATTTTCTGACTGTTTTTCCCTACTTTTGCATTTGGCTAGGGTTAGGGTCACAACTTGTAGCATAAGGCAATACCTGGACCCTACAGAGGTTGCACAGGCAGTCCAACTCCTCCAGGATGGCACATCAATAAGTGTCATTGCCAGAAGGTTTGCTGTGTCTCCCAGCACAGTCTCAAGAGCATGGAGGAGATTTCAAGAGACAGGCAGTAACTTTAGGAGAGCTGGACAGGGATGTAGAAGGTCCTTAACTCATCATCAGAGGACTAGTATCTGCTCCTTTGTGCAAGGAGGAACAGAATGAGCACTGCCAGAGCCCTACAAAATGACCTTCAGCAGGCCACTGGTGTGAATGTCTCTGATCAATCAGAAGAAAACTTCATAAGGGTGGCCTGAGGGCCCAACGTCCACTAATGGGCCCTGTGCTCACTACCTGGCTCCATAGAGCTCGATTGACATTGAACATCATAATTGTCAGGTTCACCACTGGCACCCTGTGCTTTTCACAGATGAGAGCAGGTTCACACTGAGCACATGACAGACGTGAAAGGGTCTGGAGAAGCCATGGAGAACGTTATGCTGCCTGTAATATCGTTCAGCATGACCGTTTTGGTGGTGGGTCAGTGATGTTCTGGGGAGACATATTTATGGAGGGATCCAAAGAGCTCTACAGGCTAGACAATGACACCCTGACTGCCATTAGGTATAGGGATGAAATCCTTGGACCCATTGTCAGACCCTACGCTGGTGCAGCGGGACCTGGGTTCCTCCTGATGCACAACAATGCCCGGCCTCATGTGGTGAGAGTATGCAGGTAGTTCCTGGAGGATGAAGGAATTGATACCATTGAATGGCCCCCACGCTTGCCTGACCTAAATCCAATAGAACACCTCTGGGATATCACATTTCTGTCAATCCGACGCCGCCAGGTTACACCTCAGACTGTCCAGGAGCTCAGTGATGCCCTGGTCCAGATCTGGGAGGAAATATCCCAGGACGCCATCCGTCATCCTATTAGGAGCATGTCCCGACATTGTCAGGCATGCATACAAGCACGTGGGGGCCATACAAACTACTGAGTACCATTTTGAGTTGCTGCAATGAAATTTCAGCAAAAATGGACTAGCCTGTTTCATAATTTTTTCACTGTTTTTTTTTCGGGGGTGCCTTTGAATTCGGTCCTTTGTAGGCTAATCATTTTAATTTCCATCAAACAATGGGGCATCCTTACGTTCCTAACACACTACCCAGTCCATATCAGTATAGATATCCAGAATGACATTTTTTCCCATTGAGATCTGATGT